GAGAGAGGGAGGGAGGGAGGGAGGGAACCTTACATGCAGAAGCGAGCCACAGCCTGTTGCATGATAGTACAACGGAAAGCCGGGAAGCCAAGGGTTTATGCAGACAGTCAATCTTGACACTGCTTTGTGGCCTCTGACGACTGGATTCTGCTTTTTTTCTTACATGGATCTACCAAACCCTGGAGTTTTCTTAACAAGAGACTCTTGGCATGACGATGGCTTGTCCATTGGTCCTTCGCTCCATCTTCAACCAAGGAAGTTGTCAGTTATGTGCACTTCCGAAACCTTCTAAGCCCACTTTTTACAACCCAATAGACTGCTGCAACTCGCTTACACAACCCTATACGCAGCTTTGCCCCTTGACAGGACTTGGGGATCAACTTGACCTCAGAGCATCGCGGGACCGAAGCCAAGAGACGCGTGAGCCTTGCTCAGACAGAGTCTCAAGGAGCTCCCTGGATTCGTTTTCATCTGTAGTATCCTATTATTATATACTTATATACGGACGTCTACGTATTTGCATTTTGGTATAACCCGATCAGTCCTATCACTAGCTAACCAGGCCCGTAGCCCAAGCACAAACACAAACACAAACACACACACACACACACACACAGACACACAGACACACAGACACACAGACACACACAGACACACACACACAAACACACACACACCTACCTTGTTTTTGCAGTGTGGGGTTCGTAGAAACAGCACAGCTGCTGGAGTATTTTTGACTTGCACATGCGGTATCTGTTCATGTTCAGGGATTGCATAAGCAGCATTCGTTTCAGCAGTTCGGCTGTCCAAGAGTAGTGCTGCCTGTTCCAATACAGGCACTGATGCCTTGAAACCCTAGACCCTCAACTCTGAAACCCTGAAACCCCGAAACCCTTGAAACATAAACCCTGAACCCTAAATATTGAACCCTTAAGCCCTAGACCGGAATGAACTCTGAATGCCTAATCTCAAGGCCTAGGCCGCGCACCTACTGTGGGTGGGCGCGTTTGCCCCTCGCAGTCGATGGCGCGAAGGCCCAGGACCCGGTACCGGAACACGTTCCTCCAGGACCAGTACAGGTCCCTTAAAAAAGCCATTACCCCAAGCTTAAGCTCCTGACCCCGGCGGTGGGCAGGCTTGGGACCCGCCGGCAGAGGGCCCTGTGATTTGTGGTGGAGAAAAGAAGCTAGAAGGAAAACGCATTCTGGTAGGAGTCTAGACTAACACCCTAAACGGAATGGGCGTCGGTGATTTGGCGGTCTTGTACAGCGTGGGGTGGGAGAGAAGGCAAGAAGAGCCTTCGGGACAGGCTGTGACAGCTCTTCGTCATAGTTTGCTACACACAACTCGCCCTTGTTGCATTATATACAACCCTGAAACAATAAACCCTGAAACCAAACAAACCTGGAACCCTTAAGCCTTAAACGCCTGAAACCCCTACGCCCAGGTTTTGCAGCTTTTCAACTTCGATCACCCGGGAATGGTGAGCTTCAATCTCCAGGCCTGGCAGAGCCTTAGAGTCGAGGTTTAAGGTTTCGGGTTAGGGTTTAGGGGTTTAGGGTTTAGGGTAAGGTTTTAAGTTAGTTTTCCAAGACCCTAACCCTGGGGCTTCCGGTTAGGGTTCAGAGTTTAGGGTACCTACGGATATTATTTGTTAAGGTTCCAGGAGGGTCTAGGTACAGGATTCCTTACGGAGTATGGTCTGCACAGAAGCTACTACAAAGGGATCTTCCAGGGCTTCGATAAGAGGCTTATGCGGGTTCGATGATGCCTTTTCATGGGCCATCTTTTAAGCAAGCCACACCCAGAGAGCCCATCAATACCCTACTATAAGGGACTTCATATTGTGGTTTAAGCTATATTCCTCAATAAAGGGGTATTGGGCTCTCTGGGTAATGGGAGTTGGCAAGTTTGAGAGAAAGCACAGCATGCTCAGCATGGAACTCTGAAGGGTTATGTTTTGGGCTGCAGGTAAGGTTTATGGTAAACCCCAAACCCCAAACCCTAAACCCTTCCGAGTTTGCCACAACGTGTACAGGGGTTTAGGAGCCCATAGCCCATGGGCCCTTCTAGAACCGTCAAAGCACCCTAATAATCGTACTCATGGCTGATTAATAGTGATCATATCAATACGAGTAAAGCAGTGCTGGTGATTGTAGTATATAGAAGTCATAATGCCAGCGATAATATAGTGGCCTCAGTAATTGTCATAGGGTTCTGGGGCCCTTTAGGGTATATTCATAATGAGGAACCCCCAAAATACTATAGGTAATTATTCTGGCCCCGACTAAATCCTGAAATTATAGTATAGATTTAGCATTCGTAATGCCAGCAATGACCTTACACCCGTGATTTGCCCAAGTCTTGAGTCTTTAGTCGGGTTGGCCTTGCGTCGGTTTGAAGCCACGGGATTCGCAGAGAGTCCCAGGTCCTCTTAAGTTTAGGGTTTAGGAACCATGAAGGAATACCATATGCGTTCCTAAAAAAGGAGCTCTCAAAGCGTTCAAACAGTCTGAGCTGTTGGACTCTAGGGGTTTATGGCTGAATATGCCTCGCAATGTAGAGATGATTAGGTGGTCTTTGGGCTTTCTGGGTGTGCGGGCTTAACGCTTGACAATAAACCGGGAGATCTCACGTAGCACGAAGAGCAATATCAGTAATCGCCACAGGACAGGCCGATGCGCAGAAACCCAAGGCACAACACCCTAAACCGCAAAGCCCAAAAACCTTACACCCCAAACCCTGACAAAGCCTGCACCCGGCCTGGAAGGCTGTCTTGGACCACAACAGTTTCGAGATGCGCACGCAGATGGGCTTTGGACCTTTCAACTCAGAGCAGAAAAAGATCCCCGTGATCCCAATTGGTATTAGGGTGTCGGGTTTAGGATGGAGGGGCCTAAACCCTAAAGCCTTTCTGAGCAGTATTGCTACTCCCTAAGGTTCCTTATTATAACATGTACTGATACCCAGAACACTAGTCGAACTATATTGAGGCCAAGCGTATTTGATGTTGCCTGTGGTGTTCAAGGCCGTTCGAGGGTTTTCAGTCTGGGTTTAGGGTCGTGTTTAGGTGTTTTCGAGCGGCAGGTTTTGCCAGCCAAGGATCAAGTTAGTGGACATTGTCAACCAGTTCGCGGTGGTGCTCCATGCTCCTTGCTTAACCAATGGCAAAACTTGCAGCTTCTTGAGCTCATCAATGTAGCCTTGATGAAAGATCCTGAACCCGAAAACCCTTGGCCCCAGAGCCTGAAGCCCTACATTCAGCACCCTAATCAATCCCTGAACCCTTGGCCCTAGAACCCTATAAACCCGAACCCCCCGAACTAGCAAATATAGGGGCCTTAACGATTAGAATAGGGTTTGGGGTCATGGGTGTTGCGGTTCGGTTCGGTGCGGTTTGGGTTTACTGCGGTTTACCTGAATCATTTACCGTTCGGTGCGGTGCGGTNNGGGTTTACCACGCTTTTCCCGCCCACGCCATCCAGCAACCTCAGCGCAATCCCACCCTTCCAGCTACTTGTGCCTCCAGCCAAGCCCACCTCCGGGCCCCTCTCCACCCACCCCATCCACCCTCCCACCAAGCACTCAGCCAAGGCCTCATCCATCCAGCTCACCCCCAAGCCGCCGCCTCCAAGCCCGCCTCGATCCACCCACCCTCCCCCTCCACCCAAGCCCACTCCTCCATCCAAGCCCCCTCCCTCCATCCACCACCCACCCCTCCATCCACCCATCGAACCCCCAAAACCCTGTTCTAATTATTAAGACCCCTACATTCCCAAAGTACCTCTTAAATAAAGAATCTAGCTTAAATCATAATATGAAATCCCTTATAGTTTAAGGTATCTTGCTTAAATAAGCGGTATTGGGCTCTCTGGGTTACTGTTTCTTTGCACGAAGCGAGGCCCTCCCGTGGCTGTCTGCGGCTTCCCGAAAGGAAGCCATCCACGCGCTCCAGAACTCTCGTCCGGACGTGTTGCCTACGACGCTAAAGCCTGGTACTACCGTCGGAATCTGGGCTGTGGGTACCCAGAGAGCCCAGTACCCCTTATCTAAGCAAGATACCTTAAACTATAAGGGATTTCGAGTTATGATTTAAGCTAGATTCCTTAATTAAGAGGTATTGGGCTCTCTGGGTAGAACGGTTAAGGCTCAGGGTTTAGGGTTTAGGCGAACTTAATTTGCATAGATATGTTGCTAGAGTAAGGAAACCGTAAGATGTCCTGTGCTCTTCTTCAGAACTATGGCCTAGGAATCCACAATCGCTTTTTCAAGCAGTACCTGAACATATGGGGCGATCTGACAGTGACTGAGCCGCCCTTGCACCTGTTTGTTGTGTTATCCGGCTTGAACCCTAAACCCTAAACCGTGTTGGGCACGCCACAAATATGGGAGAGCCCAGGTCCATTCCAGCGGCACACACGCTTTCGAGACCGCCTTCGATCCTCACTGGATTTGGGAGCGGTTTACAGTCATTGACGCAGGCAATGGGGAGATTGCGCTGCACCATCAGAGGAGCAACAGCTTCCTTGGCGTGAACGCCCACGGGGCCTATGCTATCTACGCGGCGGCAGCCCAGCTTCCTGCTCCATGGCTGGACCAAAGGTTCGAAGTGGTGACAATATCCAACGGCTACTTTGGACTTTTCAACCGTCACAGCAAGAACTACCTGTCAATCGGAGACAACCATGGCACATATCTCTTTCATTCGCCGACGAAGGACCTCCCCCCGGGTCATACTCACCAGCAATTCCGCGCCCACTTGGTCGAGCCCCTCTTGAAGCCAGGTGCCATCGTGGCTTTGTACAATAACATCCACCATAGATACGTGCGCATGAACCATGCAGATATGGAAGTAAGCCACGTCCATCTTCATCCCACTGACTTTCATCATACTTGGCATGCGGAACAGTTCGTGGTGGTAGACGCCGGAAATGGTGAGATCGCGCTTTTCAGTTGGCGCTTCAATCGCTTCATAATGATGGCAGCGGAACCAAACGTCCACGTCTTCGGATACTGGGCACTGATTCAGAAACCCATACCCTCCGTCTATACTCCATCAGAATGAGAAGCTAGATTATATGCGGCTGCCTACTTGTGGATTTGGGGACCACATACTCCTAGACTCCTAGTTGGGGGGACCAAGGACAGGAGGGCTCTGGAATGTCCCGATAAAGCGTTGTTAGAACCCTCCCGTGAGGTTCGTTACTTACTGTGATTCTACGATAATAGCCAGATAAAACCCTATTCTGACCATGAAGGCCGCTTATATACTGCCAACCCTTTCGGTTTCGATAAGAAACATTAAAAGATCTTTATCCTGATAGCACAAGTTACATGCGCCTTCGCAAAGCTTTATCCAACCCTTGAGTTAACACGCTATAGAACTCCATGTTCTCTTCATGCTGATGACGAAGCTGTGACCGTAGCTTTTAAAGGTTCATGAGTCGGCCCCTTGCCGTAGGAGCAGGAGCGGGATCGCTTAGCTCTTTGTTGGTTGCTCTTCTTAGCCAGCAGCTGCAACCGGGGCCTCCGAGTTTCGAGAATACAGGATATCTGAATCAGCCCTCCGGATTTGAGGGTCCTCTCGAGCTTCCTCCTGCATTCTGAATTGGATTGCTGACGGGAATATTGATTGGGATACTTCTGTCTTCGTTGCTCGACTTGCTATACCTTTGCAAGCAGTACCTTGCATTGAGCTTCGGAATCGGCTGGCCACACTGAGTCTGAAAGGGAGCAGCCGTGGATGAGTGGGGGAGCCTCACTTCGGGACGTTCGGAGTCTTGAAGCTTCCCTCGCTCGCCTGACTCTCCCTCTCGAGGCCGCTGAGGAAAGGATTGCTGAGCTTGAGCGCCTCCAAAGTCGGGAGCCACCCAGCTCAGGCGGCAGCCCTTCTGGATATTCCGTTGTGACAGCCACAGCGCCTCCTCCCGCTCAGGAGTACCCCTTGCAGGCTTCGGCCCAGTCGTCGTTGCTCCGGCACCTCGACTCAACGATCGGGAGCGGCAGGAACTTGCTGATCATCTGGGAGACTGGCTACGCCGGGAGCTCGAAGGCCGGGGAGGAGGAGTGTCCGGGCGAGATCGTCTGGAGCTGCGCTCCCGCCTCTACGTGATCGTTCAAGATTGGCAGGGAAACCGATTCAACCCTGTCCGAGTCTACGCTCGAGTCAGTGATCTTCGTAGCCACTTCAGGACCCGACAGGATCCGGCCGCGGCTATCTTTTTGGGGTTCGCTACTGCTTGGGAAGCCAGGCGCGCGGTGGCCAGGGCCAACTTAGATTGGCCTGATGCCGAGCGCTGAGACTGCTGAAGCCGCGGCCGCTGAGGCCGAGGACGAGGGCGCCGAGGCTGAAGAGGCTCGGCACATTCGGGAGAGCCTCATTGTCAACGGCGAGGAGGAAGTGCTTGAATACCCCCTCGGTGTCCTCAGTGTCAGCGAGGCTGGAGCTTGGAAGCTCGTAGCGGCTTGCGCCGTGGGCGAGTGCGCCGACGGCTCAGTTATCGTGGCCTTTCCGGGAAAGTGCCGGAACCGAGTTGCTGCAAAGAGGGTCATTGGGCTGGACTTGGTTAGGAAGGTTTCTGCTGTGCGCGTGAAGTGCGCAGACGCCGGAGACAGGAGCCGGGCGCTGGAGTCTGACCTTCATCGGGCTGCTTACGGTAGAGGGCGAGGCGGCCTTCGACTTTGTGCGGGACTTTGAAGAGGACATCGAGATCGACTATTCCTTGGGCACGGCAGAGCAACCAGAGCTTCTACCCCACGGAGGTTCGCTGGCCGAGCTCGCCAAGACCGCGTTCGAGTTCCTCACCGGTGAGAGCGCCTCTCAGGACATTCCGGCAGCCGGTGCTGGCCTCGGCGGCTCGGGTGTTGAAGAGCGGCTTGGGCGGCTTGAGGGATGCTTTCTGTCCATTCAGGAGGATCTGAAAAAGTTGGTGTCGGGCTGAGCCGCAGAAAGCAGAGCTCCTCCCCACTTCTTGGAGCCGCAGGAACAAGCTGTCGTTCCCAGGGCCCCTTCTTCGAAGAAACCTCCTGCACCCGACCTGTCAGGCATGGACCAAGGCGTCGTAAAGGCAGCTCTAGACTCAGGGATCGAGCTGAAGCACATCGAGGAGATGGGGAAGTTCTTGCGCAGCCACAAGCCGATGGGAGACGAGCCGCGGGCGAGCGCCAGGTTTGCTCGCCAGACCCGCCTGGTAGAAGACGACCTCGACGACGAGGACCCCGAGGACGAGGCCGAGGAGCCCGCTGCCGAGCCCAACGACCCGATCGATGATCTTTGAGAGCTCCCGCGGCTGGGAGGAGCGGTGTCTCCTTCAAGGCTCGCAAAGCCAAGGCGCTTTTAATTCTCCCCGATGTGGTCGTAGAGCCATCGGCTGAGCCAGACCCGTCGAGGAGGGCCTCCAAGCTCGACGAGTCCTTCTTCTTTCCCTCCGCCAGCTGGGACCGCAGCATGAGCGCCGACTTTGCCCTTCGAAGCTCGATGCCAGGCAGCAGCCAGATCCCGGTGTCGTGCCGCGCATGGCTGGAAAGCAGGTCACGAGTGCAGCATTACCTCTCGACAATCAGGTTCCTGTGGATCATCGCGGTGATCGGAGACGCTCTGAGAGAGGAGAGGCACGAAGAAGCTTATCTTCGCTGCCTCCTAGGACTTGCTGCGGGAAACCAACTTTCAATAGACGGGAACAGGAATGTGGCCGGGGGAGGAGAAGTGAAGTTGCAATCTTCGGGGGGGGGCTGGGCCCCCCAGCCACACAGCCGGCCTTACGAAGGAAGTGGCCCAACACGGAGCCTCGCCGGAGCTGGTAAGGGTTCCTGGGTCTGGTGCAAAACCGTTGACCCCGTGGCATTGTGGAAGGCCCTTCCTCGTCTTTTGCTTTCATGTCAGTTTTTCAGCAGCTACTACGCTTTTGCCCGCGACCGTCCGCATGTTGGACGTACCACATCGTCTCCCTGCCCGATGCATTTGCCCTACTTTGGAGCCAGTGCGGAGCATGAAAAGTTTGCCGAGCAGCCCCTTAAAGATCGGAATGAGCACGCCTTGCACACTGCTACGAACCTTGTTGTGGCTGCTTTGTCCTGGTTGCAGGCCTCGAAGAGCTCCTGATGAAATACA